TAAAGATTCTCCAAGTTCCCACTAGACTCAGTTTTTTTTTTGGCTTCACCTAGTGGATCCCGCACTTGGGCTATTTTTTTTTTTGCAGGCGGAGCTGCCCACCAGTCCCAAGGAGCACCTGCACTCCTCAGCCCTTGGGCAGTCCATGGGACTGCCAGGAAACGGGGGGCCACGTGGGAGCCCACTGCGGAGGGGCGACTCAGACATGGCGGGCTGCAGGTCCCAAGTCCTGCTCTACGGGGAGGCAGCTGAGGCCCAGCAAGAATTCCAGTGCGGAGCTGGCGGGCGGGCACTGCTGGGGGACCCAGCACACCCTCCACAGCTGCTGGCCTGGTTGCTAAGCCCCTCACTGCCCGGGGCCCACGGTGCCAGCCAACCGCTCTGAGTGTGGGGCCTGCCGAGCCCACGCCCACCCGGAACTCCCACTGGCCTGCCAGAGCCACCTGCAGCCCCAGTTCCTGCTGTGCCTCTCCCTCCACACCTCCCTGCAAGCTTTTTTTTTTGACTCTGGCCTGGGCCAGCCCAGAGAGGGGCTTTTTTTTTTTCATGGTGGGCTGAAGGACCCCTCAGGTGCCGCCAGAGTGGACGCCAAAGCCGAGGCTGCGCCGAGAGCGAGGGCTTTTTTTTTTTTGTCACCTCTCAGTAGCATTTTACCCAAAGTTTTTTTTTTTAAATTGAAATGGGTCCTCTCAAACCCTGCCACTTTTTTTTTTACTAAGTTTATGGAATATTCTAAATCCTTTGCTTTTTTTTTTACAGTGTTCACAGCATCTTCACCAGGAGTAGATTTTTTTTTTAGAAATCACTTTCTTTGCTCATTCATAAGACTTTTTTTTTTTAGGGTCTGTGGAGTGCAATAAAGTGAAGTTTGTTTTTTTTTTTGCCTGTAGTTGTTTCAGACCTTGGGTGGGATTTTTTTTTTTCCGTATAGGATCTCAGTACTCAGCCACACTTTAAGGAGGCTGGGCATGGTGGCTCATGCCTATAATCCCAGCACTTTTTTTTTTCAAGGCAGAAGAATTGCTTGAGCTCAGGAGTTTTTTTTTTTTCTGGTCAACATGGTGAAACCCAAATACACAAATTTTTTTTTTCATGGTAGCTGTAATCCCAGCTACTCAGGAGGTTTTTTTTTTAGAATTGCTTGAACCTGAGAGGCAGAGGTTGCTTTTTTTTTTGACTGTGCCATTGCACTTGAGCCTGGGTGACATTTTTTTTTTTCCATCTCAAAAAAAAAAGTAAAAACTTGAAGTTTTTTTTTTCAGGTTTCTAGGGTCCTTTCTCTCCATGCAGCTTTTTTTTTTCTAGCTGAAATATAGCACTGTGGGCTCTCTAATTTTTTTTTTCCCTTTGCTAACTCAGTAAGACTACCCAGTTCTGTCTGGGTTCCCATACCCTGTGCTATGGCCTGGAAACTGCTTTTTTTTTTTAAGCTGGTGAAACCAAAGGGCACACTTCATTTTTTTTTTTTTTATCAGCAATCTCATTTTCATATTGCCTATAGTTTTTTTTTTATAAGCCTTTGTTTCATGTATTTTGCCTGGTTTTTTTTTTTTTCTTTTTTTTTTTTTTTTGAGACGGAGTCTCGTTTTTTTTTTCAGGCTGGAGTACAGTGGTGTGATCTCAGCTCTTTTTTTTTTCTGCCTCTCGGGTTCACACCATTCTCCTGCCTTTTTTTTTTTAGGAACTGGGATTATAGGCGCCCCCACCACGCTTTTTTTTTTTTTTTTGTATTTTTTTAGTAGAGATGGGGTTTTTTTTTTTTTGTCAGGATGGTCTCCATCTCCTGACCTCGTGATCTGCCTGCCTTGGCCTCCCAAAGTGCTGGGATTACAGGCGTTTTTTTTTTTACCCGGCCTTTGCCTGCCTTCACATTATTTGCTTTTTTTTTTAGACTCAATCCAGTTCCTGTTTCTCCATTTTGAGCAGTCTGGATGTCTCATAACGTTTTATCACAGACCTATCCTTTTTTTTTTCCCTCTATCCACCCAGCCCTCTTATTTCTTTATTTTTTTTTTGATAAATTTCAGGTAATAGTGCATTCCCCCCTTTTTTTTTTTACAAGCATATGATTAAAATTCATTTATAAATTTTTTTTTTTTAGATAAAATTTATATACAATGAAATGAATACATTTTTTTTTTACATGTGCTACATTTTGACAAATGCATCTACCTGTATAGCCCAAGCCTCTTATCACAATACAGAACATTCTGGTTTTTTTTTTTAATTCCCTCATGCCCCTTCCCAGTCAACCTCCTTTTTTTTTTCCCAACTGAGACAGCCACCATGCTGATTCTTTTTTTTTTTTTTTCTGCCTCTTCTAAAAAGTCATGTAGTCATAGTCATATGCTGTACGCTCTTTGTGTAAAGCTCCTTTTATTCATTTTTTTTTTATGGGATTCATCCATGCCGCTGCATAGAGTGATTTTTTTTTTCTTTCTATTGTTGAGTAGCATTCCATTTTGTGTTTTTTTTTTAGTGATCTATTCTCCTACTGATGGATAGCTGGTTTTTTTTTTTTTTGACACTGTTAAGAATAGGGCTGCTCAGATTTTTTTTTTACAAGTCTTTTTGTGGACATATGTTGATTTCTTTTTTTTTTTTTTTTTTTTTTTGAGACAAGAGTCTCGCTCTGTTTTTTTTTTTGGAGTTCAATGGTGTGATCTCGGTTCACTGCTTTTTTTTTTTGCTGGATTCAAGCGATTCTTCTGCCTCAGCCTTTTTTTTTTCTGGGATTAAAGGTGCCCACCACCACACCTGGCTAATTTTTTTTATTTTCAGTAGAGATGGGGTTGGTTTTGCCTTTTTTTTTTGGCTGGTCTCGAACTCCTAACCTCAGGTGATCTTTTTTTTTTGCCTCCCAAAGTGCTGGCATTACAGCCGTGAGTTTTTTTTTTTGACCTATTTACTTTGTTGAGACAGGGTCACATTTTTTTTTTCAGGCTGGAAAGCAGTAGTGTAATCATGGCTCTTTTTTTTTTTGACCTCCTAGGCTCAGGTGATCCTCCCACCTTTTTTTTTTTGGGACCACAGGCATGTGTCACCATGCTTGGCTTTTTTTTTTTATTTTTAGTAGAGATGGGGTTTTGTCATGTTGTTTTTTTTTTTCTCAAATTCCTGGGTTCAAGTGATCTGCCTGTTTTTTTTTTCCAAAATGCTGGGATTACAGGTGTGAGCTACTGCATTAGGCAGGACATATGTTTTTATTTCTCTTAGGTAAATATTTTTTTTTTGAAATGATGGGACAAATGCAAGTGTATGTTTTTTTTTTTTTTAAATACCATTTGACCCAGCAATCCCATTACTGTTTTTTTTTTCAAAGGATTATAAATCATGCTGCTATAAAGACACATGCATCTGTATGTTTATTGTGGCACTATTCACAATAGCATTTTTTTTTTACCCGCCCAAATGTCTATCAATGAAAGACTGGTTTTTTTTTTTGTGGCACATATACACCATGGAATACTACGCATTTTTTTTTTAGGATGAGTTCATGTCCTTTGAAGGGACATGGTTTTTTTTTTAAACCATCATTCTAAGCAAACTGTCACAAGGACAGAAAGCCAAACATCGGATGTTCTCACTCACAGGTGGGAGTTTTTTTTTTTGAACACATGGACACAGGGCGGGGAACATCACATTTTTTTTTTTGTCGGGGCGTCGGGGGAAGGGGGAGGCATAGTTTTTTTTTTAATACCTAATGTAAATGATGAGTTGATGGGTGTTTTTTTTTTACATGGTACATCATATATACCTATGTAACAAATTTTTTTTTTGCACATGTACCCTAGAACTTAAAGTATAATTTTTTTTTTTTTAAAAAGAAAGAAACCTCAGAACTTTTCCCAACTTTTTTTTTTCATTATGCTTCCACCAATAATGCCAACAGGTCTTTTTTTTTTACACCTTTGCCAACATATGGTATCATCAGTCTTTTTTTTTTTAGTAATTCTGGTGCGCGTATGGAGGTATCTCATTTTTTTTTTTTTTTTTTTTTTGAGACAGAGTCTCGCTTAGTCGCCCAGGCTGGAGTGCAGTGGCGCAATCTCGGCTCACTGCAAGCTCCGCCTCCCGGGTTCACGCCATTCTCCTGCCTCGGCCTCCCGAGTAGCTAGGACTACAGGCGCCCGCCGCCTCGCCCGGCTAATTTTTTGCATTTTTTTTAAGTAGAGACGGGGTTTCACCGTGTTAGCCAGGATGGTCTCGATCTCCTGACCTCGTGATCCGCCCGCCTCGGCCTCCCAAAGTGCTGGGATTACAGGCGTGAGCCACCGCGCCCGGCCTCATTTTTGAAGCTTGTGTTTGAATCATTTGTTTTCTCTGTCCACAGTGCCTTAATATGTATGCCGCATCTCTCTGAAGTGGTGGACCCTGTTTACCTGCTCTGAAGAACGGCTGTGATGCAGCTACCTACCAGGGATACAGTTTCTCAGCCCCACACTTTGCACCTACAGCTAAGTGTGGCCATGTTCTCATCAATGAAGTGCAAATACAAACAAAGTGCACCACCTTCAGGTTGAGGCTTTGAAGAAGCTGGGGTCCCCTTCCCTTGCTCTCTTTCCCCTTGTGCTGGTGGGATATACATAACAATAAGGCCCTGGGTGATAGGTAGCCACCAGATGCAAAATGCCTCAAACCTGAGTCACCATACAGAAGAGAAGAAGCCTCTGACCTGGAACACCTAGCCTGGTCTATAGATGAACAAGAAGTAAATTTCTATTATGTTTGAACATTACAGATTTGGTTCCGTTATAGCAGTTTAGCTTACCCTGACTAAACTGTTGCCTGTCTCTTGGAAGGTGTACCCTCCTTCCCTGAAAGTGACTTTTTCATACATGTAATCTATATTTTAATTTATATTCTCCAAAGCATGTCCACATCTATTCAACTGTTTCCATGTTTTCCACTAACAGAAACCTCATATAAATAAATATATATGAAGGTTTATTGCATTATCCAAGGTTCTTTAAAATAAAATTTTATTGAAGTATAGCATATATACAGAAATGAGCACAAAAATATACACTATCTATATACACATTATACGTAATACGTATATCTGTAGAAATTTACAATGTTATTTACATCTGGGGCATTCCCTTCCTTTCCACTATTTCTCATTTGCTATTTTTTCAGCCCTGGTGACTGAGGAAGTTAAGAGAATAAGAGGTAGAAGAACATACTGAGTGTGTCCCAGGCCCTTCCAAAAATGCTGAACTCCAGCCTAGGAAACTAAAGCTGGTCCTTTAAGATTTCTCAGATGCTGCTTAATTCCTGTGCCACAGTCCTATGGTGTCGGCTTTTGCCGTTTGTTTTTTTGTTTTTTTTGTTTTTTTAATTAAAGAAAGAGGATATATATCAGGTAGGGGAGAATGTAGGGTGCAGAGCTACCTCGTCTCCTCTTCCAGAGGAATTCAAGGCTCCAGGGCTGCTGCTGGCCCATGTGGCATCTTTGGTAAATTGGAAAAACCACTTCCAAAAAAAGCACTTTTTTTTTGCAAGTCACGTTACTTCCACCTGTCAGGTATTTGTTGCAATATAACTATACTAGTTTTATTAGAATTAGAACACTTTCCTGCTACTTGCTGGAGAGTGGTTGCATCTAAGTCCACATGTCTGTGATATGAATGGTGTCTGTGGGTGAGGCACTGTTCTACCTTGATCAACCTACACTGCTACAGTTGGCCTTCAGGTTGCAGAGCAACTTGTAGTGTTGATTTTTTTTAATGCATCAGGGATATTTTAAAAAATATTTTAATTGAAGTATAACATACAGAATAAAAAGGCAGAGGCACCTAAAAATAATAAAACAACAATAAAAACAAAACCAAGAAATCAGCCGTTACACAGGAAGAATTATAACAAGCTCAGAGTTTTTAAAATGCATAAATAATGCAAGCAATACCACAAGCAGAAACCAACACCAGAAATTTGCAAGGACCTAGAGGAATAGGTCAAAGTGAAACCTCCACAAGTTGGGTTATATGCAAGGGACTTCTGCGAAGAATGTAAAATCCTATTATATCCTTGTAGATAAACTGGAGAAATATGAGCAGATAAGTTGATCAGCACATTGCTGAAATTCTTACCTAATGGGTATTGAGTAAAAGATTGGTCAATTTGCATCCTACTGAAGAGAAGTTTCTGAGGCCTCCCACAGGGCCTCAGTACTTGGACCTGTTTCATTCAGTATGGGAGGTTTACGTATGAAATTTTTGAGTAACTGGAAAGAAGATAGCTAAATATCTTAGATATTTAGATATCTTAGATAAATCCACAACCAACTCAAAAGGTTAATGAATTTTACCCAAGAAAACTTAATAGGAACAAATAAACGTCCTGCAAAATAGGTTAACCAAAACACCAACCACACAAGTATGGAATGGAAAAAGATTGCTTACAGGCAGTAAAAATAAGCTTGAAGGACTCAAACAGTAACATGCAGTTACTGTTGCCAGAAAATCTAGTTCAATATTTGGGGGTTAAATAGAAGAACAGAAAAGTATTAATGAGAATAAAGGATGAGACAGTTCTGCTACACATAAATGCTCAGTTCTGGGTTGCATACTTTAAGAATGATCAAGAAAATGAGAGCACATTGGGAGAAAAGGGTCCTGGATGGTGAAGACAGTTGGAGTTAGGATATATAATGGTAATCAATGAAATAATGGGAGACAGAAAAAAGAATATGCTGGGAGTCATCCTAATAGCTGTGGTTAAATTTTGGCCCTATCAACTGAAAATCATCAAAAAGGTCAGAATCTAATTTAAACAGAGATTATTCAAGCGCAGAGTTTGAGGACAGCCCACCCAGGAGCACCGGCTCCAAAGGAATGGAGTCAGCGTGCTGAAGGTTCCATTTACGTAGGCAGAGACAGGAGTTTTTGGCAGGATTGCAACATTTTTCTTACAAGGTTGGCACATAGTTACAGCAATTTGGTTACAGGCAGTGTTTCTCTTGGGAAAGGTACACTGAATACCTTTTACAGAGGGTGTTTCTGTCATCTGGGTTTTCTGTAATCTGGTCTAAGAGAAGCAGGACAACAAAGGAGAAGTTAATCTATAACAAAGGTCATTAATTAAGAAGGCAGGTGGTTTTTGTACCTGATGTAGTTTTATTCTCTCTAGTCATTGTACAGAACAGGAAGAATAATCAGGGAAATAAAAAGTTGTTACCATATGTGACTCAGATCAGCTACATCTCTCTCAAGGCTCAGTGTTTTTTGTGGGTTCCAGGAGCTTTTAAATATTTATTTTCATAGCCCCAAGGGCTAATAAGACAACTGAGTAGAAGAAGCAGAGTTGCAATAGGACAGGCAGAGCTGATCAAAGATGGAAATGAACTCATTCCTGACACTCAGACCAGAGGCTGCTGAAAGATCATCTGGCATTCAGCGTTTTCTCAACTTTGAGATTTTATAACTATATCGTTAAAGATCTGCCCAGCTATAAAATTTATTACTCTATCTTTGAAACACACACACACAATAAATCTTCAGAACTACTATGTTAAAACTTTTGGGGACACAAAACCACAAATCATTCAAAGAGTTTGCTTTATTGGCTGTTCTCAAATGGGCAAGCAGCTGTGTGTGTGTTGTTTTTTTGGTGTGAAAGCAGATTAGAAAATGTAGTTTATTTTGGCATATTTTTTCTAGTGTTAAAACAATCAGCATGGATACGTAAATTGTTGATGGTGAAAGACATTTCATTAGTTTAGTATTGTACACTATTACACCGCTATAGGAAACATTCTGTCTCAACTGCCAGATTCATGTGTCCCACCCTAAAAAAGCCAAAAGCCCCCAAAATAAATAGTATGTATATGTATATATATATACACATAGCTACACACACACACACACACACACACATATATATCTCAATTTGCTATACATTTCTAAATATAGATATTAGAAGTCACTAAAGCCAAAAAAAAGGTCTAATATAGAAGAGCTATTCAGATTTGTATTCACGTAGAACAAGCCAGTTCCTTTCATATTAACTATGCACACCACCTCCTTTTGGAAGAGATCTGGGAATGGTAAAAACCAGTCGGAAGATGGTCTTAACCATTTAGAAATCCAGTAACTTCTGATTTAAATGATGCTTTTAGGAGAAGGAAAACAATGCCAGATTAAAGCCTGCCTTTAACCATAAGAGTCCCTGGAATCAAACCAAAAGTGCTGCCAAGAAGCCACAGGTGTTTATCACATGGACAGGAAAAAATATGATTTTGAAGGGCACAGTGACAGTTCTTCTCTGTCTCCACTAATGGGTTATAAGATTAAAGGTTAACAACAGTACAAATACTATAATTATATAATGCTGGGTTTATTTTTCGTTCGGGTTTACAAAGAAACCTTTTTGTCCGTGTGCTTCTGGGTGCTTGGAAGGTCTGCCAGCCACTGCCTTTCTTGTCACCAGAGCTCTCAGCAGGTTTACCAATGGATGTGCCCAAGACTGCCATCTGGTGGAAATGATAGAAATTGAAATAATTTTTTTTTCTTGCATGATTGGGGGTGGTAAGTAAATAAAACTAGTTGTCTAAGAAGGTGTACATTTAAAATATACTGGGGAGGGGCGTTCATTCATCACAGCAATGAGAAATATAAAATAACAAGGAATTAATTTAAGAAAGGTGTAGACCATACGGAGAAAACTACAAAACTGTACTGGGGACATTAAAAACACTTGTATAAATAGAAAGATGTAGCATCTTCCTGGTGGAACTCACCTTGGCTAAAGATACCAATGACCCCTACATTAATCTACACATATAACAATTCAATCAACACATTAATGAGATTTTTATTTGGCAGGGAAATCTTGGCCAAATTATTGAAAAAATCATCTGGAAGAATAAACACATTCAATTTTTGTAAAAGTAGAATAATAAGGGGCATTTTCCCTATCAGATAATAAAAAATGTATAATAAAACTATGATAATTGAGATGACATTGTACTGACACACAACACAAAACGATAAAATAGAATGCTTATAAAAATACAAGCATATACATGAATATATAATAAAGGACAACTTAAAATAATGAGAAAAGATTGGCTTATGTAATAGCTGGTATAAGGGGATAATGGAAAAATCTATAGGAAAATGTTATATTAGATTTTTACCTCAGAAATAAGTTCCAGTTGTATTAAAGTACAAATATTCAAAACGCCAATGTCTTAAAAGAAAATATATGTAAATATTTACTTAGGATATAAAAAATTGTCTTTGTATGCAACTGAAGGTTGATGAAACTATTAAATTCTGAAAATTCTGAATGTAAAAGTATGACACTTCTTGAAACATATCAAATTTAACACAAAAGGTCTTTGTAGTTTACTGTACGTAAATTTTCAATTCTTTTAATGTAAAATAAAATAAACCCTATTTGATTTAAAAAGGTATATGAAGGGTAAAAGGGAATATTTTTGACCAAGAAGAGCTCTCTTACACTCTTCAGCTCTGAGCGTCTTAACCCTCTCTAGTACCGCATCAATCATAGAGAGTAGAAAGTCCTTATTCTGCTTGTAGGAAAAGCTGGCATCAAAACAAAAAGTTATTGTGTAAGAAAAATCTCAGAAGTTGCATGATGTGATTTTTTTGAGGGGGGAAACCCTATGAGGTTGAGATTGTGGTTTTTTCAAAAATTAGGTCATTTCAGTATGGCTAGATGTCCTTTGGTCTTAGTCCAATTTGTGAATATCTTTCTTTAAAAACAACAACAACAAACCATAAACAATATTACAGTATTGAAAGGCAAATGGTGAACTCGGGAAAATAATTCATGACATATGTAACAGAATAATGGTTAAAATCCTACATATATAAAGAGCTCTCACAAATCAAGAAAAATTAAAAATGTGTAAACAGAGTATCTTTCATAGGTTAAGAAAAAATGCTGCCAATTAACATGTGTGAACAGGCTTATAATAAAAGAATAACCAAATATGAGAAAAACATTTTCACTCACTAGTAATCAAGTAAGTGGGGATTAAATCAAGAAAATGTAGGTTACAATATTTTACCCAGCAGCTTGGCAATGTGCAACATTGGTGAGAAAGTGAAAAACATGGGTACTCTTGTATACTATTAAGATTGTAAATGTGTATGTACCCTCTTCTTGAAAGGCAATTTAGGACACTGAATTTTGTTTTTGTATTTTATTTAACTCAAGATTTTATGAAAAATTCAAACATACAGAAAATTAGAGAAAATAATACAATTTTACCTATAGCCCAGATTTAACATTTTGACATCTTTACCTTTTTTAAGGAGAAAATAAAAACCTCGCTTTTCCCAATGCCTTTAAAAAAGTAATCACTGTTCTAAAGTTAATGTGTGTTATTTTCATGTGTCTTTTATATGTACATATTACATATCCATAAATTGTACCTATCATATTTCATAAACTCTAAGATTCCATTATTTTATGTACCATTCTTTTTTTTTTTTTTTGAGGCGTAGTCTCACTCTGTCGCCCAGGCTGGAGTGCAGTGGCGTGATCTCGGCTCACTGCAAGCTCCGCCTCCCGGGTTCACGCCATTCTCCAGCCTCAGCCTCCCGAGTAGCTGGGATTACAGGCGCCCGCAATTTTTTTGTATTTTTAGTAGAGACGGGGTTTCACCGTGTTAGCCAGGATGGTCTCGATCTCTTGACCTCGTGATCCGCCCGTCTCGGCCTCCCAAAGTGCTGGGACCACAGGCGCGAGCCACCGCGCCTGGCCCCATTCTTTTATATGTTAAGAAAAAATGCTGCCAATTAAACTATGAAATAATGTTTGGTTAACATTTAAGATTATTTTCTCATAACAGGGTTTTAGGATAGATCTTTTTTTAATCTCACATATGCTGTTATTTCTGTGTTACATACCAAATCATAATATAATCATTTGAAGACATTTTGAGACAGGGTCTTGCTCTGTCACCCAAGCTGGAGTGCAGTGGCGTGATCTCAGCTCACTGAAACCTCTGCCTCCTGGATTCAAGTGATTCTCCTGCCTCAGCCTCCCAGGTAGCCGGAATTACAGGTGCACACCACCACGCCCGGCTAATTTTTGTATTTTTAGTAGAGACGGGGTTTCGCCATGCTGGCCAGGCTGGTCTTGAACTCTTGACCTCAAGTGATCTGTCCACGTTACCCTCCCATAGTGCTGGGATTACAAGAGTGAGCCACCACGCCTGACCTTGAGGACATTTTAAACAGCACTTAAATATAATACATGTATTCCCGACACAGTACAAAACCCAGTTGTGAATTGAGATAGACCAAGCTGGTGCAACTATGTCATGATGGCTGCCTTAGTCAATGACAATTGTTAAGATGCCATTGATTTAAGACGCTTCCTGGCCGGGCACGGTGGCTCACACCTGTAATCCCAGCACTTTGGGAGGCCTAGGCGGGCAGATCACCTGAGGTCGGGAGTTGGAGACCAGCCTGGCCAACATGGAGAAACCCCGTCTCTACTGAAAATACAAAATTAGCCGGGCGTGCTGACGCATTCCTGTAATCCCAGCTACTTGGGAGGCTGAGGTAGGAGAATCGCTTGAACCTGGGAGGCGGAGGTTGCAGTGAGCCGAGATCGCGCCATTGCACTGCAGCCTGGGTGACAAGAGTGAAACTCCCTCTCAAAATAAATAAATAAATGAAAAATAAAAAATAAAGATGCTTCCCAATTTCAAAGACATTAAAATATGAAGTGTGTTTTGGAATTAATTTTGGAGACAAATTTACTTACAAGACATCCCCTTATAACTTGCTTTGTTTCTCTCAGGGTCATGTTTTCAAAGTATTAAAAGACAGCTCACTGCCTAAGGAAGCCAACAGCAACTGGCTGCTGCTGGAGCTTGGGACTCTCTTATCTTAGCGCTCCCTCCATTTTACTGAGCCACCCCTGAAAACGCTGTTTTATGCTAAAGGGTACTAGTAGGCTAAGGAGTTATTCCTTCTTGGTAACATCTGCCTTAAATCAGGAAAATGGTCTTTTCAAAGGCCCGGGAATTCACATATCATCTGGGACTAGGGTGAAGCACTTGCTTTGGGGACAAAATTTAAGGAATGGCAAGTAATCGAGATAAATATTTTACTTTTTTTAATTTTAGATATTTTAATGCAACATTAAAAAAATCAAAACTAATGCAAAATGATGAACATAATATAAAATTTTTAAATAAGACAATCTATGCTCTTCTGAAAAAAAGAATCACTACAGAGTTTTCCATTTGCCTTAGGCTCCCACATGGCTTGGCATGGTAGTTACTAACCCTGTTTTATAGGGGGAGGAAAGGGAGTGATAGATTAAAATGAGTGAGCAACGTGGTCCCATAGTACAATTAAAAATGTAAATGTACAACAGAAACACACAAAATGATTATAGGTAGGGTGAACAATTTTCAATATTACATCCCCAAATGGATGCAAGCTCTTAATATTAGTATGTGGATTATTAGTTGTATTTTATTAGAAGGAACTAGATTTAGGCCAGCTGCGGTGGCTCATGTCTGTGCCCCCAGTACTTTGGGAGGCCGAGGCAGGAGGATTGCTTGAGGACAGGAGTTCGATGCTGCAGTGTGCTATGATGCCACTGCACTCCAGCCTGGGCAACAGAGAACTTGTCTTGAAAATAAAAAATAAAAGGAACTAAATTTAAATATGGTGAAGACAATGTATACCTGCCAGATGTTAGCACTTATGAGGCTATAGTAATCAAAATGATGTGATATTTCCACAGGGTTAGACAAAAAAACAATAGAGCAGAAGAAACTACAAATGGACCACACATATTTGGGGAATGGGAATTTGACAGGGGTGGCATGGTGTTGGCACAATTAGTTAGCTGGATGGGAAAAAAAAGATTCCTTAGTTCATACACTATGTAACAAGAAATTCAAGAATGATTAAAAACTTAACCAAGCATATGTGCTTGGGAGGTAGAAGACTTCTAAAATGGCTGGAAGGTAACATTACAGATCCTTCTGTAGTTCACAAGCATGATGATTGGGTTTTCACACTTGTGTGTGAGATGTGCCTCCCCTCAGCCTTGTTACTACATTGTCCACGTGACATGAAAATGAAAATGTATAAATTTAAAAAATTAGAGACTATATGAACTTGGGATGAGGATGATTTCCTAAACAAGAAAAACACACAGCCAAAAAAAAAAAAAAAAAAAAAAAAAAAAAAAAAGACTGCATAAAAAAAAAAAAAAAAAAAAAACAGTCTGAGAGGTTTTGCAGCTCACATAACAAAGGATTAGTATCTAGACTATATAGAAACAGACAAATAAATTAGAAAAAGACAAGCCCAATGGAAAAATGTTTTTTTTTTTTTCTGCATTAGCAGACAGGGTCTCATTCTGTTACCAGGCTGGCATGCAGTGGCGCATTTGTAGCTCACTGCAGACCTTAACTCCTGGGCTTAAGGGATCCTCCTTGCCTTCCAGCATCCCAATAGCTAGGACTAC